CTTCCAGCCTGGCCCGCGGCCAGCCCTGTCCTCAGAGCCAGGGAGGGCAGCCTGAGCAGATGGCACCAGCACTGAGCTGTCACTCTTCCCAGCAGGTCCCCACAGCCCGGCAGGACTAAGCTTCCTGTGCGGCTTGGAGGATCAGGGCCCCCCTTGCTTTACCCCCAGGGCTGACGCTGGCCGCCCATCCTGGGGGACCTCCTGAGCACAGCTTCCCTACCCAGCGCTTCAGGCTCCTCTGCCTTGGGTTTAGAGACGGAGCTGATCATCGTCCTAGGTCAGAGTCTGGGTCGACCATGGGGGTGGGAAAACCCCGCCCGCCCTAAATCTCACCACTGTAATGACCCCTTAAGCCAGCAGCTCCCACACTGATCCAAGGACCCCTCTTGGCACCCTGTGAGAGGTCGGTGCGAGAAATCAAGAAGGAGTGTGGCCGACAGAGGGACGCATAGGCAGAACACAGCCTGCACACTCAGCGGCATACCACTCGGCTGTGAAAAGGCACAGACACCTAACACGTGGGCCCTGGGGACCCGGGGCCTGGTGGAGCAAGCCCCCTGCTGGAGGAGGGCCAGTGTGGTCTGATCCCATTACTACGAGTGCTGCGGCCTGAACATGGATTGGTCTCCAGTGTAGCAGTGTTGACAGGTGGTGGGGCCTTCAAGAGCTCCGGGGCCGGGGATGGGTGGATGTTCTTGCGAGAATAGGGGAGCTCTGGTGGGAGTCTGGCCCCCTCGCCTCTCTTCCGCACGTGCCGGCTTCTTTTCCTTTTGTCCGCTGTGACCCCGTGGAATAGCCCGTGGCCCTCGCCACAAGCTGATATTCATGCAAACATTCAAAGCCATGTTTATTTTTTTCATTTCTAGCCCCAAAGTGGAAACATGTGTATGAAACTCGGTAAACACAAATGAGCAAAAGGGAGAAAATAGAAAGCATCCCTAACCATGCCACCTAGAGATAACCGCTGTTAGCATTCTGATGTGTGGCTGTCTACACACACATCTGGACCTTCATCGTACACTGTTTTTAGATTTTTAGCCTTTATTTATTTGAAAGGCCGAGAGAGGCAGACAGCCGTGGAAGGAGATCTCCCATCCACTAGTGCACTTTCCAAACGCCAGCAGCAGGGCTGGGCTGGGCAGGGGCCCAGGTACTGGAGTCTCTGCTGCTGCTTTCCAGGGTGTACATGAGCAGGAAGCTGGAATTGGAAGCAGGGCTGAGACTTGTATGCCAAGGTGGGATGCCCGTATCCTAGGGAGTGCCTTTTCCTGCTGTAGGACTTCTCAGAGCCTTTAGGAAAGGGACACTCAGTGCTGTGGGCCCCAGGGAAGATCACTGGCCCTTGTCGCCAGGTTACCCCACTTGCCTTCCTAGGCTGCTTCTCACACCCAGAATAGGCAACAAATCTTTGTCAGACCCCTTGCCCTGAGCTTTATTTTGAAAACAAAGGGCTGGCCAGCACCGCAGCTCACTAGGCTAATCCTCCGCCTGCAGCGCCGGCACCCTGGGTTCTAGTCCTGGTCAGGGCGCCGGATTCTGTCCCAGTTGCTCCTCTTCCAGTCCAGCTCTCTGCTGTGGCCCGGGAGTGCAGTGGAGGATGGCCCAAGTCCTTGGGCCCTGCACCCCATGGGAGACCAGGAGAAGCACCTGGCTCCTGGCTTCGGATCAGCACGGTGCGCCAGCCGCAGCGGCCATTGAAGGATGAACCAACGGCAAAGGAAGACCTTTCTCTCTCTCTCACTGTCCACCTGCCTGTCAAAAAAAAAAAAAAAAAAAAAAACCACAAAGGGCAACCTAGGTACCCCAAGGTCTTCTAAAAATTTTCTTCTCCTAGGGCTGGCACAGCAATTTAAGACACTGCCAGCAACACCAACATCTCCTATGAGTGCTGGTATGAGTCCTGGCTGCTCCTCTTCCAATCCAGCTTCCTGCTAATGCGCCTGGGAAAGTAGCAGATGGTCCAAGTGCATGGACCCCTGTCACCCATGTGGGAGACCCGGATGGAATTCCAGGCTTCTGGCTGCAGCTTCGCCCAGCTGCAGCTGTTGTGGCCATTTGGAGAATGAACCAGAAGATGAAAGATCCCCTCCCCCTCTCTCTGCAACTCTGCCTTTCAAATAAATAAATAAATCTTTAAAAAATCAAATGGAGATTTCCTTCCTGAGACTCGGAAGCATTTCTAGTTACTTAAAAAAAAAAAAAGTCCTGTGTGTGTCTTGCATGCGTGGGCACACAAGAGAGTGCTCTACAAACTTCTGGTGTGGGGTTGGAAGTGAAATCCCAGAGGATGAAAGCACGTGGTCTGTGGGCCAGATGGCTTTGACGGTGGTTTGGGGCACGGGCTTGGCTCTGCCCCACCCTCAGGAGGCAGGAGCCCCTGTCCTGTCCCTGCCTCCCCTCTGCGCTATACGGCTGCTGCCTCGGGACAAGCCTTGGTTACGGGGATGCCTGGGCGAGCACCACTCCTCTCTGAGGCAAGACCCAGGGGTCCTGCTCAGCCAGGCAGGGGGATGAGGGCTCCAGCCGGCAGCCCTGTTTGCTCATCGGCTACCCTCCGGCCACCACACTTCACAGTCTCACGTTGTCTGGCTTGGGTTTGACGGTGACCTGGAGCCACAGTGGGCAGAGCAGGATGTCGGAATGGAGAAAAAAAAAGCCTGGATTTAAGTGCCAGCTGTGGGACAACTCCGGGTGAGTCACAGCCCAGAAATGTTAAGCGTCAGGGAGCGAGGCTGGAAGGGAAGAACGTAACCGCCGGAAACGCACGGACCTGTCCAAACTGCGCTAAGCCGGCTACACGAAGCCGGACGTCCAACGCAAGCTCTCCTGTCCGGGTTACGTTGTGCACATAAACCTTTTTTCTAATTATTAGGAACAGGAGAAAAATAATTGGGCTACACACCACTGCCTTGTGTGAGTGATGTTGTAGGGAAACTGAGGCAGGTGGCTGTGGTCCCTTGAGCTGACACACGAGCAGCCCTAGGAGACAAATGAGGGAGAGATGAGGAATTCAGAGAACTCACGAGGCCACAGCTAGAGCCAGCCATTTGTGGGTCCCCTGAGGGTGACCCCAGGCCTGCTTCCTGCTGATGGGGTGGGGTGGAGATGCTTTTATTTCTATGTGACAAGGGTCAAGGAGCCCTCAGGGCCTGGGTGTGCACTGAGGAGGTTCCGTCCCACTGCTGGGGGAAGCAGCGCCTCTGTGACTGCCCGGGGGACCCAAGGGCTGGGCAGGGAGAGGCAGGCAGAGAGCCATAAGACTTAACAGGAACCGCTCCGCTGCAGCCCACACAGGACCAGAAAGAACGCTATGTCGTGGGCAGCCAGAGCAAAGGAAATGGGGACATGACGTTGAGACAGGAGCTGTGAGCAAAGGCTCGGGATGGGACAGGCAAGGCGGGGTGGGGGTAGGGTGGGGCACAGCCAGACTTGGAGGAGACTGAGCGATGTCAGTGACGCTGGGCAGCAGTGGGACTGTCCCCGCGGGGCATCCAGGGCTGCAGTCTGAATGTCACGGGCCCAGGGAGAGGCTGCGGAATGTAGCCGCCACCAGCCAGGACAGGGGAAGGATCGGATGGGGACAGACCAGCAGTCTGTCTTGGTGGACATACCCTCAGTGTCACCATCCGGAGCGGGGGCCCGGGGGTGCTCGGGTGTGGCCGAGAGAGCTCATGCCTTCTGCTGCCGGATAGGGGTCTGCCTGGAGCACGGTGGGGGGACACTGGGCAGCACCTGGGCCCCTCGAGGAACGGAGCGGCCGTGGATTAGTGAACTCACTCACACACGCCATTCTGCGCACCCACTGTGTGCCGGGAGCATGCACTCTGGAGCCATGCTCTTGCGTCCTCAAAGGCTCGGGCACAGCAAGAGCAAAGAGCCCCGGGCTGGGCTGCCTTCAGCTGCCCCTTTCTCCCCCAGGGCCTCTCCTTGGCCTTGTGGAAGCTCAGCCAGCCTGTTCCTCTCAGGGTCTTGAATAAATCAGATATCGGACAGAAGGGAAAAACTGAATAGTGACTGTGTTTTCAGCTTTCGTCACCTGTGCTCGGGGAACACACTTTGCAAGCACTGCCCTTCCTCCCTGCCTCACCCACCCTGACTGTCCTGTCTGATTTCTTACCTTAGTGTCTCCGCCCAAGGAAAAGCCAGGGGGCAAGGCCCACGGTGCCTCGGGGCTGGAACCCGCGGTCATGGGACGAGGGTTTGGGAGCACAGGAGCGGCCTGAGAGTGGGCTCTGCCACGGACTGGTCCTGCCTCCTTGGGGGCCTCAACTTCCCTATAAAACGGGATTAATACCAGCAGTCTTCGTCTCCCAAGCTTGCGGTATGGACTGCAGGGTTGGGGGAAGGGCTCTTCACATGCTCCCGACCAGTCTCATGGTCGCTAGTCCAGGCTGAGGCCACGGAAGGGACCCCCCTCCGCCACCCCATTTTTTTGGTCACACACACACACAGCCACACACACACACAGAGCCACACACTCACATACTGACTCAGTCACAGACACAGCCACACACGGAGAGCCACACGCACACACTGACTCAGTCACACACACACACACAAACACATGAACACACACTCATACACACATTGATACAGTCACACACACTGACACACACGCATACTCACACTCATGGACACATGCACACTCACAACACACTGACACACACTCTCATACTAATGCACACACTTAGCAACATACACATGGAGCCACACACACACACTGCCAGTCACACACAAACACACTGACACACTTATACACACAGCCACAGTCACACACGGACACTCCCACAACACACTGACACACAGACATGCACACTCTTACACACGTGCATACTCACACTGACATGCACTCTTACACACACACTGAGACCGTCACACACATACGCACACTCTCACACTCACTGCTCCCTCAGGCCCCCAGGCCCCTCGCTCACAGGTGCCCACGTGATGGTAGCCGCGTCCTGGGCGCCCCCAGAGCCCACTCAGCACCAGCACAGATCTGCGTTGCACGTTGGGGCTTTTACTTCAATTTGAAGCAGGTGGTGGAGCAGAGACGCGAACAGCTCTGGCCTTTCGAGCACACGGAGGGGGCCGCCTTGGCTGTGAACGCGCCCGTCCCCCACGCACTGGCCCATCCCCCTGGTCCCGTCCTCCCTCTGCCTGGCCTGCACAATCGGTAACAGACCAGGGGCCTCCAAGCAGGGCGCCATCCCGTCTGCCCTGCCGTGAGGGTGGGCCACGGGTGAGGGGCAGCCAGCTGGGGAAGCAAAGACCCTTAGGCAGGGCAAGTCCCTGGGGTGGAGACGAGTGATGTGGCTTCTTCCCCTCTTCCTCCTTTCTGGGGATGCTCCTGGGTCCAGGGGGCATCCGGAATCAGGGTCAGAGGGCTTGGCAGCCAGCAGGAGGGCGGAGAGAGGGTAGGCACTCAGCCCCACCCCCTACCCTTCCAGGCCTCTCCAGCCTCCCTGCGTAGCCCCCAGAAGGCTCATGTTGTCCCCAGCCAGTCAGGACCCAGTGCAGACCGAGCGCTGGGTCAGGGGTCAAGTTGTGCCCGTGGTCACCGAGGGTCCACCCTGCCACGAGCTCCTGTGGAGTCGCTGCCTCGTCTTTGGCTTGAGATGGGACTCAGGCAGCAGGAGGGACGGAGCCGCACTGTGGCTGCTTGCTGGGGCTCCTTCCCGCGCTCCATCCCGGGGCTCTGGCGAATCCTCGACAGCGGACCTCTGTAGCCAGACAACAGGCCCCAGGCCGACCTCGCCCTTCCTCACCAGGCACAGGGCAAGATGCGCAGTCCCCGTGGAGTGGGTGGGTGACAGCGGGAGTGACAGGGAGGCAGGCGGCTCCTGTCTGGCCCTGAGAGGCAGTGTGTGGGCTGTGTCCAGCAGCATCTCAGGGAAGACAACGGGTGGGCGAGGCTGGGCGTGGCGAGCTCACTGTCCCTGGAGAGAGGCCCACATAGTGTCCCTGGGCCACGGGGCCGGTCACTCCTAGAAGAAATGAGCAGCCATTAGCAGCAGCCCCCACTCACTGGGATGCCCGTTTCCAAAAGGCTGACCACAGTACCAGGTGCCGGCTCCCATAGCACTTCCTCTCAATCCCTGGGACCCAAGTGGGGACGCCCATCCGAGCCTGGACGGCTTCAGCCAATGACAGAGCCAGCTTTGGACCCAGGGCTGGTTCTCTCCAAAAGCCCCGGGTGTCTCCTTCCTCTCCACCTCCGCGTTTCATCCCTGCTCGTCTTGTTGGTCTGGGGAACACAGGCAGGACCACAGAGAGCACAGGGAGCCCGGTGCTGTCACCACAGTCTGCAGGCATCTCCGAGCCAGGCTTGCCCCCACTGCTGGCTGGCAGGACCCCTCTGCAGGCCGGGAGACCTCCCCCCCCCGCCACAACACACTGGAATGGCCGTGCTCTGTGGCTCCTGGTCCCCTCCACTGTTCAGCTGAGAGCACTAAACCAGGAGCCAAGAGGCCAGCTCTGGTTGCAGTCCATCCACCAGCTGGCTGGGTGACCACAGACAAACCACTTAACCTCTCTGTGCCTCAGTTTCCTCATCTGTTAAATGCCACGGCTGGAGCAGACCACCACAGGGCAGGAATGAAACGTGGCCTGTGGAACCTCAGCAGACAGAACTGACAACACGGATCTACCTGGGAAAGCCGGGTGAGGGGTCACAGAGAGAGCGGGAGCCGCAGCATCCCAGAGGAAGCACAGTTCAAAAACTGCTGGATTCGACCATTTTTAAGTTCCCGGCAGCCCTGACCTGCAGGATCTTCCCTCTGGCAGCTGGACTTGAGAAACTGTGACAAGAGATGGGGACCGGTCATGGGGGCTGCTGGCCGAGAGGCGCTGAGGGCTCCGAGCCCACCCGGAACAGGAAAAAAGAGTATCAGTCCCTTAACCTGGTACAGCACAGCTCTGATAAAGCCATCGCAAACCTCCCTCTCTTCCAACTCTTCTCAAGCAAGACGCATGCCAGGCCCCTCCAACGTGGCGGGCTGTCCCCCTACCCTGCCCCATTGTACAGTGGGAAGCAACCCCACGCTCAGAGAAGGAAGTGCGAGAAGCTGGCCACAGCAGGATTTGAATCCGGACCGGCAGTGTTGATTCTACCACCCAGAGGCTGCTCTGGCTGAAGGGGGGGGGGGGGGGCTGGGATACAGCCAAACCACGAGGTTGGAGGGCCTGCTAACCACAGGCCCCGGGGAGCCTCGCAGGCCTGGGGCAGCCGCTCCAGGCCACAGCCATGGTGTCCTGTCCAAGACAAGCTGGGGTGAGGCTGGAAGTGGGGGGTGGGGAGCGAAGGCCAGGGGCGGGGAGGGGGTGGCGAGCGCTGGGGGGTTGAGGGGATGGGAGTGTTCTGCAGCGAACAGCAGCTGGGGAGGGAGCAGTGAGGGGCAGGCGGGAGCTGATGATGTGGTAAGCCCCAGGCTCTGCTCTGTGCAGGGGCAGGGCTGGCCCCAGCACGAGGCTGCTTTTTGTTACTGAGTCTGAGCAGGAGGATTAAGAAGCGGAAGGGAAACCCGTGGGGATGGCACTGGATCTGTGGCCCGGGAGCTGATTTACTGCCGTGTCATCCCAGGGCCGGCCGCCTGGGCGGGCCCCACCGTGGACCAGGCCCAGAGACCCATCCAGCTCAGCCGGCCTGCAGTGCAGGGAAGGGGCCCAGCCCAAGCCCTCCTGTTGTCAGCTCGCAGACCCTGCCGCAGCCACGGCCTCTGCCCGGGAGTGAAGGCCATGGGGTTTCTTGAGGGCCTGACCTTCAATTCTTGACCCAACCCTAGCCCTGGCAGGGTCCACACTGGACCTGTATTCCTACCAGCCACGCTGGCCCAGAAAATAGCACAGGCCTCATCCTGTCCAAGGAAGCCGCTGTCCAGGGGCCATGACGGGCAGAACACCAGGAGGCCTGGAGGGAGGGGGCAACATCTCCCCTGCAGTGGTTGGCAGAACACCAGCCAGGCTTTGTCTATTAGCATATTAAAGGCTCTTTTTTTTAAAGTCCTGATGTAAGACGCCTGTCAGTATTTTCCCAACAGACTGAACAGCAGCACAAGGAGTGGAATCTCACTGCAACCCTCTGCAAAAGGGAAGTCTATTTGAGGCTTCGAATGGGCATTGCACAGAGGCCAGGGGTAGGGTCCCAGGAGAGGCAGCAAAGGACTTGCAGGGCTCAGCAAGAGCGAACTGTGGCCCCACACTCTAGGCCCCTGTCGAGACGGCGCTGGGCCAGTGCAGGTAGCCCCTGCTTTCCTACCAAGAGGCCCAGCTTCCCGGCAGCTGATTGACTGGTCCAGCCTAGGTCAGCTTTCTCCCCCTGGACCAATCAGCTGTGGCTCAGGGATGGGAGACGAACATACCAATGACAGCCTTTCCTAAGGGCTGTGTGTGCGTGTGTGTGCATGCGTCCGTGTGTGTGCGTGTGTATGTGTGTGTCAATAGCGGGCACAGCAGACACGTCCCACTGTGACACGGCCTCACAGCCCCCTTCTCTGTAGCACCTGACAACATCCGGCATCCAACCATCCTTAGGAGGACTCAGGTCCCCGAACGCCCAGGCCAGGTCTGGGTCCGGGCAGCTCCTGGCTCACTGTCCTCAGAGCTGGTGCCACCAAAGCCCTCACCACAGGAGCAGTCCTTCAAACATCAGGGGTGGATGCTACAGGAACTGTGGACAGGACCAGACGAGGAGGCCTGACACGCACAGCCCCACCCAGGCGGCGGTGCAGCCAGCTGAGTGAGTTCATCACCATCATACACCACCTGTCTCTCTGTCCACTTGTTTGGGGCTAGGATGCCCACTTCCCGCGGGCAGAGACGGGGGTCTGTCCAGTTCACCGCCGGGGCCCCGAGGCCCGGCGCAGCGCCTGACCTACCTACAGCAGCGTCTTGGTCACTGATCGAGCTGATGTCCACTTCCAGAAACAGGCATTTAATTCACTGCAGCTGTTAAGTCCCATGGGCTGTGTTCCCTACTGAAACTTAACATCACACCTCTTTTCAACTGTCGGTCCTTCAGGGGAACCGCGGTAACTGCTGTGAACTCTGGAACAACCTCACGCTGTTTTTTGCTTGTGTTCACTTGCCGTTTTCCTGATTTCTGATGGTACCTTCTCTGGCTTTCAGAGCTCACTGCCTTCCTTTCTTAACACTTCTGGGGGCTGGCGCCATGGTACAGTACGTTAATCCTCCGCCTGCGGCACCGGCATCCCATGTGGGCACCGGTTCGAGTCCCAGCTGCTCCTCTTCCAATCTAGCTCTCTGCTGTGGTCTGGGAAAGCATTAGAAGATGGCCCAAGTTGGCCCCTGCACCTGCATGGAGAGACCAGGAAGAAGCACCTGGTTCCTGGCTTCGGATCGGCACATCTCTGGCCGTTGCAGCCATTTGGAGAGTGAACCAACAGGCAGAAGACCTTTCTCTCTGTCTCTCCCTCTCACTGTCTGTAACTCTACCTGTCAAATAAATAAATAAAAATCTTTAAAAAAAATTAAAAAAGCACTTCTGTGCACCACAGCTGGGTAATTTAACCTCTTTAGGGGCATTTAAGAAACGATTTTGTCTGTCTTCTAAATTAGTTTACTTTTCCAAGTCATTGTCATTCATTGGTGCCTACCTTACCTCCTTACCTACTTTTCACTATATTCAAATTATACATTGGTCTATATTTTAGCAATTAGGACATCATCTTCTCCATGCAGGGGAGAAAACCTCCGCAGGCAGAGGATTAACCAAGTGAGCCACGTCGCTGGCCCCAAACATTATTTTAAAAGTAAGACAGCAGAGACACAGGGAGGACATAGGAAAACCGAGCTACTGGGCTCCGTTCCCAGTGAGTGCACCAACAGGTAAGGTGGAAAGGGGTCTCGTGTCTGGCCCTGAATGCTGCTCTCAATTCAACTGGGATTCATCTCTACCCCAAAGTCAGAGCAGGCTGGCTAACCGCCCCAAGCCTCAGGTGAGAGTACCCAGCCTTGGCAGGGCGTGGTGCACAGGGCTCATGCAAAGTGCTGGGGCCTTGGGTTCACTCCCTGGGCCTGAGATGTAAAGTGGCAACACGGGCTGCGACGTCTCAAATGAGGAACAGTCACCTTGAACCATCTGTCATCTTTGACCCATTTGCTTTCAGCCAATTCTTGTAAAATCCACAACTCTGAAGTTTACGTAGGTGGTGCCCATCAATGAAGGGACGGATAGAAAAACATGGTTAGTCATAAGATGGAGTATTATTTGGCCATCAAAAGGAATGAAATGCTGGTACCAACCCGACAAGTCTCTTAAGTCAAACCCCACAGTCTGTGATTCCATTCACAGAAACGCCCAGAACAGGGAATCTATGGAGACAGCGAGAGTCCTAGTTAGCGGCCTTGGACCTGTGGGCGGGGGGGGGGGGGGGGGGGTGTGTGACAGCTAAGACCTATCACTTGGGTTTCTCGGGGTTCTAAAATTGCAGCTACTTGTGAATTTACTAAAAAGTCGCTGAATCAAAATAGACTGTTAGCTTTTTAAAAATTACCTGGGAAGTGTGTTAAGTTTAGAGAAATTTGGAAATACAGAGGCAGTCTCTCCACACGTTGGTTGGAGGATTATTTTTGCATATCCAAGGGGGCTTCTAGAAGGGCGTGGAAAATCCGCATTCTCTTTGAATTCCACTTTCCCACGCCCTCGCTGAAGCCCCCTCCTGCTATGCCTATGCTCGGAAAAGTACCCAGGGTCTCGAAGGAAGAGGGCGCGTCAGCTGGAGCTGTCGCCCTCGGGCCCGAACCCTCTGCCAGGGCTGGGTCTGCTTCCACAGCTTCTCCGAGGGCCAGGCTGCGCAGGGGGCTATTCTGGGCACAAGCACAGGCCCGGGCTTCTGGCCTCCAAACTTCCCAGGGAACTGGAAGCAGGTAGGGGCCAGTCGGCCCACAGCGCCTCCCGCCCCGCCTGGCCCGGGCGCCACGGGTGACAGGCAGGAAATTTATGAGCAGCCGGAGCTGGCTGCCGGCTGCCGAGGGCGGGAACATGGCGTGAATCAAGGATCACACTGTGTCCAGGCTGGGAGGGCCCTCGGAGGTTCCCAGTGTCTAAGAGTTTCAGAGCCCCGGCCAAGGGCTGTGGGGAGCCAGCAGCGCCTGCTGGGGAGGGGGGCAGAAAAACTCATTTATTCAACAAGGATTTACTGAGTTGCTACTACAAGGTGCCAGTTCAGCGACAGGCACTGGGGTTAGCGGCTCTGCCCCAGGGAGACGCAGGGCAGGCTGCTGCCATAGGTCTAAGGGCATGCATTCTACAAGGTCCTTTTCTGTGCTTTTCTCTTTTTTTTTATAATTTTTTTGACAGGTAGAGTTATAGACAGTGAGAGAGAGAGAGAAAGAGAAAGGTCTTCCTTCCGTTGGTTCACCCCCCAAATGGCCACCACAGCCAGCGCTGCGCTGATCCAAAGCCAGGAGCCAGGTGCCTCTTCCCGGTCTCCCATGCAGGTGCAGGGACCCAAGGACTTGGGCCATCTTCCACTGCCCTCCCGGGCCACAGCAGAGAGCTGGCCTGGAAGAGGAGCAACTGGGACTAGAACTCGGCGCCCACATGGGATGCTGTCACTGCAGGCGGAGGATTAACCAAGTGAGCCACGGCGCCGGCCCCTCTGTGCTTTTCAAGGCTGATTGCCAGGGAGAAGCAGACTGCCCGGGGCTCCCAGCTGCTCCAAGGCCTCAGCTCTCCAGGCCAAAACCCCATCCCGCTCCCCAACTTGGTGAGGCCAACGGATGTGGTCGAACCTCCGCCAGTCAGTGACACACAGAGCTTTCTTCCTGGTAAGGAGCAACTGGCAAGGTTGGGGATGCGACCGTACCGCTAGGGGGCCCCTTTCTGTGCCGACACATCAGTGGTGGAGCTGGGAGCCGGGTATCCAGGGCGAGCATTCCCACACAGCCCATGCTGCTCCTGAGCCCTGTGGGGAGTCCCTCCACCCACTGGCAGGAGGCACAGTGAGAGCCTGCTCAAGTCCAACCTCCCAGCCCCACCAGCCCTGACCCCCATGATGAGCTGGGGGCCATGGGCTCCTCCTCTGAACTCCCAAGCACTTTATCTTGACTCCCCCCACATCACCACCACCACCACCACCACCCCGCCCCTGGGTGCCATGAATTCCTATGGGTGTGACTGCCAGATCCTTAACCCACTCCACCAGCTCCTAAAGGTGCCATCCTCACCCTGGTCTTCCCAGGGCGTGTCAGCAGGCGCAAGCGCGTTCGTGCCCATGGCTGCCACAGTCAGGGGCGGCTGCGTGCAGGCACCTGGCGACACTCCTCTGTAGGCTCTGTTGGATTCCAGCCCCAGGCGGTGCCTACTGTTGCTCCCACTTTGTAGGAAACGGAACCCGCCCTAGGCCATGCTGCTAGAATGCGGCAGAGCAAGGCAGACCCTTCAACCCCAAGAGGGGGCAGTGTCTTCACTGGCAAACAAAACTTGCAGATCCCCAGGCCATCCACCCAGCTGCCTTGGACCCCTGTGGCCCACGGGAAGGCGGCTGGCATCGGGGGCCAGCGTCATGGCCTGCGGGGCACAGCCATGCCATGCTGACGCCTCCTCGGGCTGCGGGCTGCGTGGTCTGCCTCCGATCTGCTTCTCTCTCTGGGCTCTGCCTGCGTGTCTCCGTGCCAACTCTTTCTTGGCCTCGTCTTTGTTTGTCTCTCCTCCTCTGTCAGTCTATCTGTCTTTCTTGGCCCCTACCCCACCCCACCCACAGTCCAGGGCGCTGGAGGGGGCAAGCTGGCCCCGGGCGAGGCCTGGGACACAGCTGCTACAGCCGCCCATCTGCTTCTCATCCTGGGAGGCTGTCCGGCCATCCCACTTGGCTCCGCACGGCTCTTCCAGACCCAGCAGCTCCAAGGGCCCCTGACCTTACCCCAGAGCTGGAAGAGGCCCCCAGGCTGGAAGGGAGCAGACAGCTGGGCACACAGCGGCTCAGCCAGGCGAGGGAAGCTCTACTCCTCTGCACCTTCCCAGTGGGCCCTGCCACGGGACCCTCACAGACGCACACCCCGTCCAGCCACAGCGCCAAGGATCCCAGCAGGCCTGCCTCCTCCCCATCACTCTTCTGCATCTGCCCTCCCAGTCCTCACCACAAAGTGACAGCAGGGCAGCACCAGACAAGTCAGTTCATGCCAACATGCTGGCCTGCAAGCCTTTGCAAGGACCCCAGAGTGTCTCTGGGAGACCTCCGGGAGGGGGCCGAGCTGTGGATATTTCAGGACCAGGGGGCTGAGAGGGGCCACGAGCTTTCTGGGCAGCCCATGCAGTCAAATTTCAGCAACAACAGTGCACTTGCCACGTAAATGCAGTTTTAAGACCAGAAAATGCATCCCTCTTCCATTGTCCCCTACCATCTCCCCAAGCTGGATTCTGCATCCAGCGGGGGCCATCTGTACCCACCAGCACCTGTCTACCAGTGACAGCACGGCAGTACCTTCTAGGTGCACAAGAGAGAGGCCAGGAATGGGAAGAGAAATGATTCTCTCAGCCACACATGTGTGCAGGTGCACTCACACACGAAGGGCCCCACACACGTGCTCCCTGGCAGGACAGCACAGGGGTAAGACGTGCCAGCCAGGGCATCAGACAGCCTCTGCTGAAATCCTGATGTCCCATTTCACCAGCTGGGGGACCTGGAGCGTCTCAATTTCTTTACCTATAAAATGGCATAGTGTTTACTGCGTGTAGCTGTCAGAAAGGTTAAAAGACCACCATGCTGCAAAGCCACATACTAACGATAGGCAGTGACACGCCAGTCCCAACCGACCCCCATCAGCGACTCTATGCACAAACCGTGCCCCCAGGCTGCCAGGGCCTCCCTCGAGATGGACACACAGGAGCTGCCCATTAGAGATCTGTGGCAGACAACAGAAAACAAGCGCATTTCCTCACGCTTCCATTCCTCCATTCATTCAGCTAATGTTTACCCAGTGGTGAGACCAAGCCAGGCTCCCCTGGAGGCTTGGGGGAATCCCACAGAGAACAAGCAGCCAAGCCCTCCCAGCTCCCATGTCCCCAAGTCCCCAAGGCACCAGCCCCACACGGCCGGCCGGCCGGCCGTGAGCGAGGAAGCCTGGCGCTTCCTGTACCATCCGTTCCCAGTAATCGATGCACTTCCCGGCGTGCTCAGTTGTTCCTGGATGTACTTCGGCTTCCTCCCGACAACTCAAGGTCAAGTTCAGGAACATCAATCTACGTAGGACTCCAAGGTCCCACGCCCAGCTCCATCCCCCCCTCGGGGGGAGGGGGGGACTCCTGGAGCCGCTGGCCTCGCTCTTTGTTGTGTCTGTTGCTTCCCCGCAACCAGGCTGCTGGCTGGGATCAGGGTGCCGTCTCTGCACCTACCCCTGGGAGCTGGCCTGGCTTCAGGAAGGTGTATCTGGTCAGCCACTCTGACCTGGGACACCTGAGCATTGGCCTTGTGAGCAGTATATGCAGGCGAAGTGCACTGGGCTCTGGAGAGGGTTCTGCTGGGCTTTCCTCTTAGGGCTTTTTAAGCATGGCCTTTGTGTCCTTTAGTTCTGAGTTCCAAAGAGCAGGCCCTTTGTTTTGTGACAAAGCGATCCCAGGACCAGAACACCGAAAGTGACTTACG